AAATTTCTCTCTCAACGAATCCGCAATGCATGCACTTCAATCCTATCTCCTGATCCAGAATCAATTCATGTTCCGGTTTTGTACAATGTGTGTGGGAAGGCTTATCGACTGAGATGTCTTTGTCCTTCTCCTCAATAAAAAAAAATATATATAAATTTTCACTCATGATCATGACATATTTTATAAACCATTAAACAGAGAGAATATATTACATTTGAAAGATTTTGCTTGAATTGTTTCCACAGCTCTGCTTGCTCGATCTCAGAATCAGTTGGCAAAGGTGGCAACTTAGGTTCCACCACACCAAATCTCATGTTCAAAGGTGGTGAGTTGATGATTAGCAGACCATTCTCATCAAAGGTGGTCGTTGCATTAGTGTTGGTAGTTGTACCAGTCTTACGGCTGTTAATGCTTTCATTAACTGCCGTAAGACTGGTACAACTACCAAAACTGTATTTGATTTTTACCAATCCATTAAGTAAATAAATATTTTTGGGTTTATTAGGGGAGAGAAAGATGTGACTTTTAACTGCTCCGCACGATAAGGCTGAACGGTTTTGAAGGGTATTTATTATATGAGTCGCACCCTAGGGTTTTCCTTTCTCTTTCCATAAATATAACTCGCTCTCTCTCACTCATATCTATATTCTAAATCCTCTTCTCTCTATTTAGTGATATCTTTGCTCTCTTTATCACTTTAAAATGGCCCCTAAGGCGTGGATTATGACTCATCTGAGGGAGTTGGTTCAGTGCAAGGCCGGTGGCGGAAGACATTTATTGAATGGCAAGCAGCGCTGTTGGGCCCCCCTAGTAGTCTATACGAAGGGGGCATCTTCTTCATCTCCATCCGTTTCCCACCGGATTACCCCTTCAAGCCACCAATGGTGTCGTGGAAGACGCCGATTCTGCACCCCAAGACGCCAATGGTGTTGTGGAAGACGCTGCTACTCGTCACCGCTACCTGGAAGGTTGGAACGACAGTGAAGGAACTCCTCCAAGCGCTCCATGACATGCTGCTTCACCCTAAGGTCGAGGAAGAGGATAACTACCTCGCAGACGTCGCACGCATGTGCGTCTTGGAACCGAAGCGGTTCAAGAAGGAGGCCCTCCTGATGACCGATGCACACGCCATGAATTAATTCATGATGTTTTCACAATAAAATAACGCATTTTATGTTTTACTATTTTTCGTTGTAAAATATTTATTATTTAAAAATTATGACTGTAATATATTTATTTACAAAAAAATTATTAGTAAAATTTCTTGTATGATTCTATCCACTATATTATCTCTGTCGATACATAAGGAATCCCTAATAAGAAAACCCTAATACTCGGTATCAATTGGTGTAACCATATGTATTTCCGAAAATCGAAAATATGTAATACTTGGTATCGTTTGGTGTAACCACATGTATTTCTGAAAATCAAAATATGTAATACTCGGTATCATTTGGTGTAACCAAATATTTATCGGATAATTGAAAATTTTTAATACTCGGTATCATTTGGTGTAACCATATGTATTTCTGAAAATCGAAAATATGTAATACTCGGTATCGTTTGGTGTAACCTACATGTTTATCGGATAATCGAAAATATGTAATACTCGATATCATTTGGTGTAACCACATGTAATCCCGAAAATCGAAAATATGTAATACTCAGAATCATTTGGTGTAACCACATGTTTTTTCGGAAAATTGAGTAAGTCTTGAGTACAACCATGAATCGTAACTACTTGAACATGTAGATAGTTAAAGAAACCGAGGCCACAGCAAAAACAGATGGAACAACCATGTCCTTAACTTCCTTAAATATCTTAATTCGTCACGTCTATTCTAATTCCCTATCCATTTTCTTCGAAACCAAGTCACAAACCATCTCATAAAGGACAGCATGAGACCTCATTGCCTCAACCATTTCCTCCTTCAGGTTGTTTACCGATTCCTGTAGCTGGGAAATCACCGTCGAGTGAATCCGGTTCATGGTTCTAGTCCAACCACTCCGGCCTTGCATCTCGGTCAAATCATGCCGAACATCTGCAATCTCTTCTAGCATCGCCTCATCACACCACTTGAAGAGATGACATCCGGGATTCTACAAGACACAAACCGTATAAATATTTTTGGTACAAAATTAAAAGCAATCAACAGCTGAACTTACGTATTCTTTATTGCAAGCGAAGAATCTTCTTCCCAGATCTAAACGTGGGAAGTTTTGATGATTGGTTTACGATGACAATAACAAGAATCACAGGATTCGAGAATCTTCGTACAATTCGGATGGAGGGCTCCCGCTTAAAATCTCCGAGTCGGACGACGAGCCGAGACTTGGCATTCTTGCAAGAAATTGTTATTTTGCAAAAAATTGAGTGTTTTGTGTTTTGGTTGTGATTTGTGCGTAAACCCATATATTTTAATGAATTTTGATGTTGGGGGGAAACTCAAATTTGGAAATGTCTGTTTTGGGGGGGGGGGGAACTCAAAATTGGAATGTATATTTTGGGGGAAAAAATAAATTTGAGTTTCGTGGATAAACCTGGGAAATAATAAATAATTATAGTGCAGTCTATTTGTTCCATCCAATAAGACACGTGTTCAAGTGAAAACACATGTCGTTTATTCTAACTGAGAATTTAAAACGTAGTTGTGCCTTGTTTTCCAGTTATACACATCGTCCACATAGTGTTACTTTTGGTGGATAGACCGTATTCGCAGTAATACTGAAATGTCAAGAATATATTCCGGTAATACGTTTCATAATTGGTTATAAAAGCAAATTATCAACTTTTTCATCAAACAAAATTCGAGGAAAAATATGATACGTATTCTTTCCATCATTGATGGCCTAAGCTTGACAATGTGACTATAGAAGGAGATTGACACTTAAGTGTCGGATGTGGTGAGATTTGTATTATTTATTCATTATTTTTAGTAGTTTAAAACACTGTTTACTAGTCCCTCATAAGTGTTAGCATGAAAACGACCATATTTTAAAATACTGATTATTATCGTGGTCGTATTTTGCCATCCCCAAATTATGAAATCGGTTTAAATTGGTCTATTGGTGGTTAGGGGTTGGTTAACCTGTTCAAAACGACGTCACCTGGAAATGAGTCTCTTTTAATCTTATTTCCTATTTTTTATAATAATATTCTACCTGACACATGATCACCTTTCTCTTCTTCCGACGAACATTCCATCGTGTTTTTAACTTTTACACGACATTCTCTGACCTAAAAGTACTACTTTAACTTTTCTTTTTCACAATTTTTTTGCTCTTGCTTCTCCTCCACAGTTCACAATTATTTGTGGTCGACAGAACACCAAATGGCCGTACTAAACATTATAAATAGAGCGTAGTTATACCAAGTTTTCCTGACCAAAACTAGAGCGTTTATATTAACTGGGTTTGTTGAACGTCGTTGTACTAATAATTCTAGTTATACTCATCATCCACGTTGTTGTCCATTTATTGTTTTACAGTATTATAAGTAATACTTATATCAAAATGAAAAACTTTCGGTTATACGCTTCATCATAGGTTATAAAAGCTATAAACAAACGTTCTCGTGTAATGTCTATATCATTTAAAATTTTTAAAACACTGCTTCGTAGTTCCTTTAACATAGTAGCTTGACCACGAACAAATTTGCGTAGACTGACTCATTTTGTGGTCGAATTTCGTTAGAGTCACATTTTCAAATCGATTTCCTTTGGTTTACAGGTGGTTTAATGGGTGGTTTACATCTTACTAAACGACGTCGCTCCGAGACGGGTCCACTATCTGTCCTTAGTTTTTTTTTCTTTATCTCTTTTTTACTTTGTTTTTACTTTTTGAGAATAATTTTTTCCCTTTCCCAAGGAACATTCTCTGACTTTTTGAGAATAACTCATATTATATCCTTTTGATTTGAGGTATTTTTACTCTTTACGTACACGAGAAAGAGAACTTTGAACTTTGAACGAGAAAGAGAACTTGAACTTTGAACAAAAGACTAAGGAGAGAAAACAATACTTAAATAAAACAAAAACAAATTTTCACTTGGATAGATCAAGTTGGTCACTCTTTCAAGAAGCGATTTCTAATATCCAACTGGAATTTTGCCGCCTCCATTATCCAGTGGCAAGAATCGCACCAATCGGGGGGCACATCTGCATATCCCATCATAATTATTAATGGGTGAATGTCTCCATTTCCACAATGCAAGTTATTAATTTTGTCCACCACCAATGTAATCCTCTCTCCAAACTGTGCTGGAGTGACATACGGGGGGTCCTTTAGGGCTTGCTATTTCAATTCGTAATCGCATTTCTTTTGATTCCGCCCGTGTAAAATCTGGGACAGATGTTAAGCTGATGATGAAGACAATCATTTGGTGGCAATATTTTGCCAACGAGAATCCCGCTTCCGATGACGCCTTAAGCATCACCATCCCTGCCTCTATATCATGGTCATAGAAAAAAATTGAAAGACCTCTTTCAAATAGAGCCGTAGGATTACCTTCTGCAAAACATCTGTCCTTGAACATTCTCATCCATGCCATATCAAAGAACCAAGGTGTGGACATGCTTAGCAAATCCACGGTCCGAAGGAAGATTGGATCCTTGGAGATCTGGTAAAAATCCCTACTTGCCACTAAAGCCCTACAGTAATCGCGAATGCTAGAACTGACTACCTTCTTTAGTATTTCTTTTTTCATCTCTATGGGCAAATCAGAAAACCCTCTTTGCCTAGCCATAGTAGATGAATGAGATTATGTTTCAGAAACTCTTTAGGTCTACATTAAATAACAATCCGCTTTATCACATTTGGGGGAAACGAAACGTCGTTTGAAGATATTGACCGCATTAACTCAAACGAGACGTTGTTTGAAGATATTGACCGCATCAAGTATTTCCAAGTAATACAACCACAACATAAACCCTAAATCCAAAGATGGTTGTACTAAGTATTTCCGAGTAATACAATCACAACATATCTCTCCACTCTCCAAACTAAACCACGTTATCACCCGAGACACCTCCTCCAGCATTTTCACCTCCTGCATTTTCACCTCCAGCATTTTCACTTCGAGCATTTTCACCTCTAGCATTTTCACTTCCAGCATTTTCTCCTCCACCATTTTCACCTCCAGCATTTTCACTTCCACCATTTTCACCTCCAGCATTTTCACTTCCAGCGTTTTCACCTCCAGTAAAATAGCTATAAATTTTGTAAGATTCTGGCCGACGCTTATTACTCGTCTTCGTCCTCTTCGACTTCGGTCGACGCTCTCCAACGGATGAATGCCTTTACTGCTGTTTTGCCCCCCTTTTTAGCTCGTAAACCGGGGGCAAAGCGCTCAATTGGTTAACATCATCGGGAACAACCCACTGTGACTTATGTGGAACATGATAGATGGTTCTGTTATAAGCAAAAGCCCGCTGCTCGGTTAAATAATACATCGAACACAAGTCCTCCACATTGATATCCACTTCTCTGTCTGGCCGCTTCATGTAAGCTTCTAATGCGGCTAAGGCATGGACACATAGATACTTGTCTATATCAAAAAGCTTGCACGAGCAAGTTTTATTTTTCAAGCTCACCGTGTAATTAATCCCATCGAATCCAAGAACGCTGTATTCAATCTGAATGATGTGAAACCTAGCTTCTTAGAATCAGCACATCTTTTGTGAAAAATATTTTCCACAAAGGCAACCAGTTTGCGTCCTGGTGGCGTTGAAGGAGCCTCGTTCCTATGCTTGTTAAACCATTCACACAATTTTTCAACAATCGCATCTATCATAGGTAATAATGGCAGCTTCCTTGCATATTTAAACACACTATTCAAGGACTCCACAACGTTACTAGTATATAGATTGTACCTCTCTGCTGGAAAATAGCACTTGGCCCATTTCGATACTTCTACACGCCTTTCTAGATAATCGGTCACAGCAGGATACTTTAATTCCATCCTCGAATAATGATCATGAAACTCGGCCTCTGTATACTGTCTTGCACACTCCATGAATGTATCTGCAACTATTTCTTTCCCTTGAAACTTGCATTTTCACATTCTGTGAAAGATGCCAGGTGCAATACCCATGTTTAGCTTCTGTGTACACCTCAGCTACTGCGTTAATGAGGCATAAATTTCTGTCCGAAACAATAACCAACTCATGACTATCGGGTATAACCATTTTTAACTGCCTGAAAAACCACTCCCAACTGTCGTTTTTTCTGAATCAATAACTCCAACAGCAATCGGATAATGGTGACGATTACCATCCTGACAAGCAGCTAAGACTAGCTGACAACCCATTCCAGCTTTCAAAAAAGTGGCATCAACAACTACCACTTTTCTCATAACTACAAACCCTTCAAGGCAAGCTCCCAAAGCGACAAATAAGTACTTGAATCTTCCTTGTTCGTCCAGTAACACATTGTGTTTTGTCCCTGGATTCACCTTCTGTAGCATATACAAATACGAGTACAGATCTCTATAGCTGTCTGCAGGAAAACCACGAACCATAGATTTATCTTGCTGTACTCCTCTCCATGCGGTGGAGTATGACACACTCACAGAAGCGTTTTGTTTAACCTAAAGCATGACAGCGTGAGGAGTTGGTGTATCTAATCGACCTGGATACAACTCCTTAACAACAGATGCAACTAATCTTGGTGTTCCTTTCCTTTGTTTGCTGTTTGTACTCGCGCTGGCCCGAGAACAAGTATGCATCTTCCGGTATACTGTTACAGGAAAACAGGGTGTATTCGCATCCTTCCAAGCTCGTAAATACCAATTACAACCTGTTTCACATCATTTCACGATATATCACCTCTTATCTGAATTCTTTATAGTCAGACCAAAACAATATTGATGTGAAGCTCTATACACTAAATCTATCAAATCTTGTTTACATGCAAATTGTTGCCCCACTCTCAGATTCATACCATCTTCCCATTAAAAATGTTGTGTTTCTACAACTTCAGGAGGGGGACCATAATCAAAATAAAACCCTCTGTATTCCTCCTCCTCGTTATCAAACTTGGCTTTAGCATCATCATCTACTCCATCAGCATTTTCACGGGAAACATCATCACCATCTTTTCCATTGTCAAGTGTAACATTATCACCATCTTCTCCATCACGTGTAACATCATCACCATCTTTTCCCTCATCACCGTCAGCTTCCTCTATCAATGGGACATTTTTGTGATGTTGTCCTGCTGAACAGTTGCCTGTGTAAATAGCAAGTACACCATTATTTGATCCACCATGACCTAAACGCAACCCCCCATAATTTATACCAACTGAACTTACCCTCTCAACTCTGGAAAATTCCTCAACTTCAACACCTTTGATGACCTCTACATTAATAATACTTCTGCGTCTCTCTTTATCCAGTGAGGTCAGGAACATGGCTAGGTCATCATCATTCGAAATATAAAATTGTTTCTGAGTTTGCATTTACCGGAATGTAACTCAGTATCAACTTACTCGAAGATTCAACAATCCCAACCTTCGTGCATATCTTTTCCACTAAATAAGAATAAGTAATCTCCTCCAAACTTGATGACTTAAATATTATACCATACATGGACGCTGGGGCTGAAATCCATTTATCCTCCGAAGTTGAATAATATCCCCCGTAATCAAAAAATAGGCTCGTTATCATTATCACCTGAAAAAATAACACATAGACCATACTCAACCGCATAAAAAATGTTTCCAGTTGTTTCCAGTTATACACAGGTAATACCAATTGTTACTCTATCTCTCTCATTTAATTAGATCTAATTGTCAACTCGTGGAGAAACTCTAATCTAACTTGATTTACAGCATCTAAAACTCCAATCCAATAAATATCCAGTCGATTAGCAACCAATTACCATGTCCATAGTATACCATTGCCTATTCAATAATCGAATTTAATCCCAATCGTGGTTCTAGGGCAACGACTTTCCAATAACGAAATGAAGAAGAATATCCAACGAAATGTCAATTACCTCGATTAAGCTTCAATGAGGGAAGAGCGCAGCAAAATGTCAAGAAGGATTCGAGTTCTGAGAATTCGTTCTCTAGCGATCGCTGGGGTGAAGCGAGCGAGCTGGTCAAAAATGGTTTCTCTTTCAAAGCCTGTTCTGATTGGCTAAATTTTTGGCGCCTAAAAAATGTCGACACGCTCCTGATTGGTTAAAATTTGAGAAGCTCGCTTCTGATTGGCTACTCATGCTTATATCTCATTGGACGAATTTTTGTTTCACCACTCTTGATTGGTTTATCTCTGCTTATTTATGATTGGCCAATTTTTCAATTTTCTCTCATAATTTACTTCTTCCAAAATTACAAGGACAAATTTGAGATTTCCAAACTCATTAAAATGTGAGGGACCCGCGAGAGAGACACTAGAATGAAAGATGAGACGAGAGAATAAATAATCTCTTTAGAGGAGTGTCTTAGGTTATCTCTCCAAATATTTACTATTGAGTAAAGACGAAGTTGACCCTGAAAAGACTTTCTTTCCTTCTTTGGATCTTAACCTCAAATACTCCTCCCTTAAATCTCTCATTCTCATATACTCCCTCAAATCTTTCATTTCTTTTTGATTTTCTTTTTAATACGAAAAAGCATAAAAAAACATAAAAACCCTTAAAGAAAATGCAGAATTACATATCCAATTTCTCTAAATCAAACTATCCAGACCCAGACCCATATCCAATTTAAATAACCAATTAAACTAATATCAATCAAATTAAACCGGTTTAATTTGGTTAAACCATCCCAAAATTAAAAATCCATCATTCTTCCCCAACTCTCTTCAACCCACGATGAACAAACCTTAAATCGAGCCATCGACGAGCAACTCTCATCAACTCTGTCTCCCGATCTCGAATCGATTCCATCAGTTTTTGAATCGATTCCATCTTCTCATTCTTGTTCGATCAGTCCCGAACAAACGCGACTCCTCTCTTTTCGACTTAAATCCAGAAATCTCCACTCATTCCCTTCAATTCGATCTACAGAAAAAAACTTCAACGCCGCTGCTCCGTTTTCACTATTCTGTCGTCGCCGAACAAGTATTTTCTGGGCTTAATAGCGTTTAATTAGAACCCTAGTTTCTGATTTCTTTCCCTCAATTCTAAACCCCAACTGATTTCTGATTTCTGTTTCAGATTTTTTAGAGGATGTCGACTAGGGGTTCACCTTCTCAACCAGAGAGATCTGAGGCTGAGTATGCTACGGCATCAGAAGAAGGATTGGGTTCGAACTCAAACGTTAATCCATCACAACCGGTATGTAGTTTAGTACAACTAGTATATTTTAGTACAACTGCTTTGTTATATAGTTTAGTACAACTAGTATATTTTAGTACAACTACTTTGTTATATAGTTTAGTACAACTTGTATAGTTTAGTACAACTGATTTTGGCTGAATGGTTTAACTGATATTATTTACATATAATATGCGTTTTGATTGCAGCAAGAGGAAGTCTCAATACCAATGGAACCTCGAGACTTATTCTTCAGGAAAAGCGAGTATCTGTTATACCCGAAGTTTCAATCAATGTGTGAAACCTTTAATTTCATGGAAGTCTTCAAGAGGCTTGATATCTCAGAGAGGAACTGGTTTGAGAGAAGAACTGGTTTGAGAATCACCCACAGTTCAAGCATATTGTCCACATGTTTATTTAGAAGAATAAAATGTTAATGCGAATGTGGATGTTTTTTGTTGTTTATTCATTGATTAAATCTGTATCTAAAAATAAATATAACATTAATATTTTTGTATAAATCATTTTAGTGATACAAAAATTTAATTATAACATAATATTTTTTCTTAAAATAAAAATATTTTAAAAATATTCTTTTTATTTTATTATTAATTACAAACAACAGTCATTATTTCTAAATTTACAAATTATACACAAATATTTACTTGTTAGTTTTGATTTTTGGTTTTATGGATATGTTTTACTAAATGTTTTAATGGCTTTATAGAAGAACTTTAATATACCACACTATCTCTTTGTCTTAACTTTAATTTTTAAAAAAAATATAATTTTAATTACATAATTTAAATATTTGTTTGTTAGTTTTGATTTTTGGCTTTATGAATATGTTGTACTAAATATTTTAATAGTTTAAGAAGAAATTTAAGATACCATACTTTATCTTTGTTTTAATTTTATTTTTTATTAAAATATAATTTTGATTACAAAATTTGAATATTTGCTTGTTAGTTTTGATTTTTGTCTTTATGGATATGTTGTAATTAAAAAAAAGAAATTTTAAATATAATAATATAATTATAGAGAATATTATTTTTAGTGTAAATAAGTAAAAAGAAATGTATAGTATCAAAAAATTAAAAAATAATAAGTAAAAAGAAATGTATAGTATCAAAAACTTAAAAAATAAAATAAAATAAAAACCACATGTGCGGCGTCAAATTGCACGAGCGCCGTCAAAATAATTATAAAAATAATTAATTACTTTTGTTGCGCCGTCAAATAATACACAAAGTTATACCCAAGTAGGTAAGTTGTACTCTATTTTGTTGTATTACACAGAGTTGTACTTTCATAGATAAAATAATTTTATTAGTTATACTGTACTAGAAATTACATTTTTATAGTTGTACTTTTGAAAATCGGTAATAATAAGACATTTAAGAAACATATATATAATAAAATGTATAAAATTATGTTTTTTGTTAATTTCTTATAACTATATAGCATTAGTTGTAATAGTTGCCATAGAAGTATAAGGTAGATGTTATGAAAATATGATTTTTATGTTCTCAATATTCAAAAATGCATCAAGTTGTATTAATTCATAAAAATAGATATGAAATAGAGTCTTTAAACACATACTGTTTTCCGAAATGCGGTATTTTAAATAAAACGAAAAAATGAAAAAAAGAAGTTCAAGTACACACTAGTTGTACCCGATAGTTATACTAGTTGTACCTAAACATCACCAGCGAATCCTATTCTGCTTCCTCTTGTTCTGGTATGTTAGGA